GGATGCCTGTGGTGATGGCAGTGTTGTATCTTGACCATATCTCTGTCAATATCCTGGTTGTGATATGGCACTACAGTTTTGCAAGATGTTAGCATTGGAGAAAACTGAGTACACACAGGATCTCATATTATTTTTACAACTCTATGTAGAATCTACAAATTATCTCAAAATAATAAACTTAATTAAAAGAAAACGCAAGGCACCGTTTTAAGCTACAAACAGCACTGAATAAGGTATAATCTCTGCTTCAGAGGAGCTCACAGTCTATTTCATGAGGAGCTGGGCACATAGACACAATGTTTCCAGTTTGGGACTTTCTATCATTCCCCAACCTTGTTTTTGGTAGAAAACTTCCTCCCGTTCCGTTTTTTTTTTTTGGTCCCTCACCACACCACCCATTGGATGTGATCAGGATCAGCTGCATAAGTGGTCCCTCACCACCCATTGGATGTGATCAGGATCAGCTGCATAAGTTGCAGCGCCCCATGCAAAATGAAAATTCAAAGGTCCTAGTTCAAAAATTATTAAGAATTTCAAGAGCAACAGCAGAGCATTAACCCATGTGCAGGGCCCTTCTGAGCCCCGAGGCCTGTGTGACTGCACGGGTCACTCTTGTGATACTGGCCCCACCTGTGATTCTGGTAGGGTTGCCAATCACCCTCCTACCTCCCTTGGCAGGAGATGGTCCCAAATTACCCAAGGTTGGCCATTCATAATATCTCATTGCCCTGGTTACTTGTACCAGAATCCTTGCAGGGAAGTCATACCTAATGAAGCTGGGAAAGAGAACTTTTTTTCCCTCTGGGATGAGTTGTTTATTGAACAGATATTTATTGGGTACGCACCATGTGCCAGGCCCGGTCCTGCATGTAGGAGTTACAATGGTGAACAAGATGTGTACAGATAGCCCTAACCGGTTTGGCTCAGTGGATAAAGCGTCGGCCTGCGGACTCAAGGGTTCCGGGTTCGATTCCGGTCAAGGGCATGTACCTGGGTTGCGGCACATACCCAGTAGGGAGTGTGCAGGAGGCAGCTGAT